TATATATATATATACATTACAATCAAGAAACGCACTTTGTTACAAAAATCATGATGCTTTATACAAGAAACTTATATGCTATTTTTTTTCTTCATTATAGCATCTCTTGAATTAGCTCGAAAAAGTGCAGTTAATTTAAATGATATGACAACCAATGAAGGACAATTAGGCCAAAGAAAAAGACAACATATTGTATACAGTGATAGCGAGGAAGAACAGCATAATTGCCAATGTAGAAAACATATTAAAAGTAATGTATCACAAACATACAGTGTATTACATTTATTTTATGTTATAATTACGCATAAATTTTGCTGCCTTTTTTTTAAATGTTTATAATGAAATCTGTAGAAGGATCCTTCTATCTTTTGATTTCGATAAAATGTGATATATTTGTAAAGAAATTAAACTATTAGAATTATAATCGTTGTTTTTTGTACAGGAAAACAGATTAATGTGAGTAGTGTTACTACAGTACCATTGTGTCCTTCAAACGTTCAAATAAAGAATAAATATGTCAATGTACCACAAGTTGCAACATTCAACGATGCAAGTGGAAATAGTGCGTACAAAATTTCGCAAAACGGTATTATGATTTAAAATATTATGAAATAGAGTAATTATTATAAATATAGGAATATTAAATTTAGTCATTAATGCATTTACAGATAATAACCCAGTCCCATCTACATTTAACGAGAGGCTACATTCTGAAATAAGTAATATGCCTATAATAGTAGAAGGTATACATATACATTGTTAAAATCAACAGAGATTATTTGTAACATACAGCATATTAACTTCATAAAATTTTTTTAGGATATGAGCAACTTACCGAAACCATACAGGATAGTAATATAAAAGGTAAATTATCCCTTTTCATATTATTAACACTTTGTACACACAAGATATCCGATCAGTTTTTCGTACATCAAATTGTTGAATTTGTATTGTAGAAAAGTTGGACCAAATATTACGGATGCAGGCAGCTACAAATATTTCATTGAGAAATATTAACCAACGATTATATAAAATAGAAGATGCCATTAAACACAAAAGCACAAAAAGCCCTGTTGAAATTAATGACAATCTCATCGCACCGTTTTTGCCACTTAAAACAATAGAAGAGATAAAACAGTTTGAATGCTTACTGAGAACGTCAAATGAGCCAGTAACACAATTTGTAAGTTTTACATTTCTTTACTATCCTTACAATTGTAATTCATTTTAATATAAAAACACTTCATTAAAATGTTTTGCATAACATGGTTGTTGCTAACTACAGAGTAAACATTGTACAATAAAATTGACATATTCACTACTTAATATATGTATATTTTATAATTATATTTGACTACAAGAAGTTAAAAATTAGTTTAAGCTCGTTGGAATTATTTTTTATTTTCTTTGGATTTCTTTGTTTCTGATGTACGTTATTAATCAAGAGTTCCGTGGTGAGGAAACCTAAGAGATTTAACTATGTGTAAAAGTTTTGTGGATGAAAAACATGCCTATAATTGTTTGAATAAAAATATCTTCACTAAACTTTATCATATCCTCTTATAATATTATACTGTTCTATCAGTAATTTATTGAAGTAAATGTAAAATATATTTCTTAATTTTTTCTTTTCTTTACAGAAACAGTTTGTATCAAAAACTGGTGGCAATAATGCCAAAGATCACATATACAAATGTTTAAAAAAATTAATAACAAATGAGTGTGCCATGAAGTGTTCATGGAAAGGCTTCCGTAATAATTTTCAAATATCGAACTTATATTCCATGAAAATTATGAAAAGTAAGTTATGGACGTATATGTGTGTGTCTATATGTATGTGTGTGTTGCTGAATTTACCAAATTTTTTATTACAATGCTTCTATTAGTTTTATATGATTTTCTTTTTCTAGAAGAGATAACATCGCACTACACATGTACAGAATCTGATTTCGACAACACTACGGCAGAATGGTTACGTTTTGCAAATCAAAGGAACAAAAGAGAAAATCAAGCTAAAGAAAATAATGCAAAATGTAACGAATGTAATGAAGATAACGAATATTAAATATATGTATAATATAATATTTATCAAGGTAAAGTTAAGTTCAAAAGATTTGTTTTTGTAAAATTTTGAACTTTTGAGACTTCTGATGACGCTAAAGTAATTATGACTGCAGAATCTATAAAATATAAAGATACTGAATTTATAAGAAATGGTACTGCAAATTACAATGCAGAAAATACAAGAGAGGAATATAGGAAAAAGAAAGTAGATAAAAGAAATCAACTACCACACAAAAAAGAGATGCAAAAATTAATGCGGAATAAACATTTATAGGGACAGATAATTGTTTAAAAGTATTTTGAATTGATTAAAAGTAAGAAATTATTTACTTTTCTGGTATTTCCGATATATACGTAAATTATATATATATATATATATATATATTTATATATATATATATATAAAT